AAACACTAAAAACTTTACTTTGTCCAGGCTCAAGAAAGAAAAAAGTGGCATCACACTTTGAGGAAAAGATGAAAGTAGGAAATTTCAAATACGAAATATCAAGAAAATATCATGGACGCTTTAAAAACAGAAAACGTATGTGAACATTTGTTTTAGACATCGGAGCACTCCTAAATTTAGGATGAAAAGCAGTTTTTTTTCTTGAGACTGTACACAATTTAGAAACTAACCTCCGCCAGTTACTTTCTTATTATTAATATATGTATATATCAACACATACATATGTATTGCATATATAAATATGCCGTTAAAATTTTGTCAAACATTCGCGCTTCCGCACCAAAATTCCCACTAACACATACCCTAGCCATATCCTTTTCTCCCAACGCAATATACATTTTATATCAGACACCGAGCATTCTCTCCACTTCATTTTCCTCTCGAGACACCAATCTTCAGAAATCTGTCTCTTTCCATGTATTGCTACCAGAGTTGCCAAATGTCTTCAACTGAAAGATGCTAGACACGCTTCCAAAATCACAAAATATGGCAATGCTCTGTTTCTCTCCGAAACGTTGTTAAAAATCGCAAAATAGATTGAAAAGAAAGGGAAAAAATTGGCTACTAAATTCCACAAAAGTATGAATTTGGTCTACGTTATATTTACTCGGATTAGGCTCCCAAAAAGCCGCTAAACAATTAGGGAAAAAAGCAAAGGTCCCACCAAAAGTCGCCATATCTAGCGGCAAAATCGCTAAATTGGCACCTCTGGTTGCTAACAGGCAGTCTATGTTCTTCCCTGTTCTTAGTTGTTAGTCAATAATAGTTTTTGTGTGTATTTTTGTCAATACATTTGATAAATTTATTTCATTTCCTTATTGCACGATCTGTTCTTCGAAACACCTGTTTTATATATACCTATACAGGACTACTTTACAGTGTTGCAAAGCACATCAAATCTATTCATAGTACAGAACAGTGCAGGAAATAGCAGATATGCATGGCAAATGTTCTAATAGTACTACAGAAATGCTCAATGTTTAATGGATACTAGAGTTGTTGTTTTTTTTAATCAAGAACTTTCTTCATATTTGTATGATATGCAGTATTATGAGATGTTATAAAAATTGTTCATTGCTAATTCTTTAACGTAAATCCCAACAGTAAATCAGGAATTTCAAACGTTTTGTCAATATTAAGAAGAATGGGAAGGCTGACTGTTTATGCAAATAACTGCAGTAAATGACACGATGAAAAATTACTATAATTAGAATAAGGTTTTGATCAATAATGAGTTGAAATTAACTTTTATTTCTTATATTTCATTAACATTCGCTGACGTGTTAAGTGACTCATTAGTTGGCTAATATTCTGAATTTTGTTTCTTCAGCAGGTTTTTGTAATTATATTCCTATCATAGAAAAGATATGGATGAGAATCAATAATTCCATTTGAATTGGCCCACCAGTATTACATTTTCATCATAAACGAGCAGTTTCAGACCAAAATATAATTCCCAACATTTCAACAATCTCTTAATTACGGAACTATCGAATATCTCGCCCATAAATCTTTTCTACAACCGTTACAAACTCATCTAACCTAACTTCTTTTAACATATACAGGGCGCAGAGGTTAATCTCCTTGATGTGTCTGGGTGGAGTGCCTTGCATATGGCGGCCTGTGACGGAATAGCAGAAGTGGTGACCTGGCTGCTGCAACACGGGGCTTCTGTGCACGTTAGGGACAAGCAGGGACAGACGCCGTTGAAAATTGCTGTGGAAAACGATCATCATAAGGTAAGAGGGGGGGGGGGTTGATTATACTGGGTTTTGGGTTGTTTCTTGTTGGTGTTTTAAGTTTTTTTCTTTTTTTGTTGTTGTTGTTGTGTAAGTTGGTGTTTGTATTATTCCTATTTTACAAAAATAGAAAAAAATATATTTATCTATCTATCTATATATAGAGTGAGAGAGTATATAACCAAAAACAATATAGTTACTGAGTCATTATGGAAAATTTTCACCAAGTGAGGATTCCTTTTTGTCATACTATTGTCTTATTGTCTTGTATTTTTGTTTTTTATTGTTTTTTGTTTGTATTATATTTGCCTTCTATTGCTTTTTTTTCTATTTTTGTATTAAATTTGTTATTTTTTGTATTTCGTTTAATTGTTTTGTATCCGTATTACTTATCAAAAAGGAGAAAGGAAGGCTGCGTAATATTATTCATGAAAGATCTCAGAAGAACCTCAACGGAGTGAAACTTACAAATTGATTGTTTTTTTTTCATTAAAGTATCACTGCCACACGGAGGGTAAAAGAGAACTGATATTGATTCCTCCGAGTTAAGATTATATCTGCTGCATTGGCAAGAATATAATTTGCTTCACTGGAAAGAATTTGCTTTGCTTTGTTGGAAAATAGAATTTGCTTCATGGGAAAGAATATGATTTGATTCGTTGTTATTTTTGGTGGTAACATGTGCTTTGTTTTAACATTATTGAAATTTACATCTGCTTCATTGGTGAGAACATTCGCCATCAAGGTATAAGTGATGGTAACGTGTGATTCATCCGTGGCATTTGCTTCATTGTTTTACTACGGAGATGACATTTACTTCATTGATGAGAATGGATTTTGCTTTACAACTTCTTTGGTGATAAGAACCCTTGCTTCCTTTCCTCCCTGCGCTTCCTTCAGGTAGTGGAGCTCCTAGTGCAGACAGGAGCTCACCTGACGGAGTCGCCGCTGCGCCTAGGGGAAGTCCTGGTCTCGGCCGCCGCAGCTGACAACGTGGAGCGCCTCAAATCCTACCACATCGCGGGCGCAGACCTCTCCTGCGCGGATCCGTGTGGTCGAACTGCGCTCCATGCGGTACGTGGGGCGCCCTGGCCGGGAGGTGGGCGGTGGGGGTTGGCTTGGGTCTTAATGAGTTGGGGAGGGGATTCGGTGAGTGTTTGTTGTCTTATTTTTCTGTGGGCTGGGTACTTGTGTGTGTGTGTGTGTGTGGTTTGGGTGATATATTCAAACATACGTACCGAGACGTGCACACACGTTTACTCGCACACGCACACACTGTCAACAATACGCATCCGTCCAAGGTCGAAGCGGAAGCTGTGCCTTTCTGTCCCGGTCCAGAGGAAACAGCTTATCACACGTACCACGCCCAAGACTTACTTGCCCAGTTTTCTCCCCCGAGCAATCCCAGCGAACTCACCCCTTGTCACAGCCGGAAGTACTGACATCTGAAAAATCAAAAGCAGGCACCCGCCAACAGGACAAGGAGTCGCTGGATGGAAGTCGTCTCGTCAGGCAGACCGAGACAGAGAAGGTAGCAGACCAGACACCGAGCAGACAGAGCAGGAGCAGTCGCAGGACAGGGCAGCTTGCCCTCCGCCCTCAGCACCTGGGGCACGGGGTCGAACCTTAACCTCTCCAATAAACCAGCAAGCCAAGACCCCTTTCATTACCACCAACCTCCACGCCCCCAACCTCCGCACACACACACACCACTTCACATTGTGTATATATATCTATGTATAATGCATATATATAACCTCTAACCTTGATTATCCAAACTCCTTGACCTCTCTCCTCCAGGCATGTACGGTAGGCTCCGAAGAATGCGTCCGGTTCCTCCTGGAGGCAGGCGTCCCCACGACCACCCGCGACCGCACTGACCTGACCCCGGCCATGTGCGCTCAGGTCAACAACCACGACCACTTGGCGCGACTGATTGACGAGCAGGAGGAGTAGTGTGCAATTAGGAGTGTCTTGTGTACATTGTAATTGTGTACTTATTTGTGCTAATCATGACACGCGCTTCCCGTTATGGCTGTAAATAGGTGTTGTTTAGTTGTTATTTGCAAGATGCTGTTTATAAACGAATTGCTGAAGGCTCGTTGTTATATTTTTATGTGATTTTCATTATTTATTGTTCATATTTTGCTTTGCTTTTTGTACTTTGATATATATTTTTCTACTAGTATATTTTTTCTTATGTAGATTTTCACTGTCTTCTTTTTTTTAGAATTCAAATAGCAAATACTGCGATATTAAATTATAGTTTGTATTACGTTTCATAGTATTTCATGCCCTTAAAGTTCTATTTAATTCCCCTTTTTACGAAATTGTGTATATTTTTTCTAACAAATTTTACCTATATATTTGTATTTGTCTATTAGGTTTGCATACAACTAGCAAGGCTCACACACGAAAGCTATATAAGGTTCTATTTGCTAATAATATCTGGGCATAATCCCACACAACACGAAACAAGGCTTATTTCTCTACTGTTAAGAAGTCAAAATAATAAAAGAATAAATAGTTTTAAAGAATGGACTTCAAAGTAAACTATCTTATTACTCGAGACATACTGCTCGAGAATGAATTAATGCTTTAGAATCCTAATATATATTCCTCAGCACGGTTATAAAGATTTGAATATAATTTTCCATGCACATAATACTACTTGCAGAGGATTCCTTCATAAAATCACTTCTTTTTTCCATATCAGAGGTTTCATCTGAATACAAAGATGATTATCGAAAAAAGAACATTGAATCTTAATTCTTAATGTTGTCCATATTGTAAAAGTGCAATATTTACGTTTGTAGGTGTATTTATCCACAATTATTTGCATTATGGCAATAAATATAGTAGTTGTAAGACCATTTATGCAGTCGATTTCACTGGATGCATAACGTTTGACTAAGAATTAATAACTTTAAAAAGCAATTAAGAGATTTTGAGGTTGTAGAATATTTTTCGCTGGTATAATATTAGAAATTAAGAAGTTAAATCTGAAACTCAGTAAAGTTATTTACTCTTATTCATTTTTCTACATCTATCACAATGATAGTTCAATATTGCTGAAGCTACCCATCAATTTCCACGGATTAAAAGCATAATAAGCACCCCAAGAAGCATATTATTCACATGAATGGTTATTACACTTGCCCGTGATGTAACTAATATATGTATTGCTTAATCAGCCTTGCCCAGTCTACATTTTGTATAAGTCGTTTCTATTGAGTTGTGATTTGAAAGAACACTGGAAGGTAAAGAGGTAGAGATTGTATGTTCCTTATTTACAAGTTGATTACTATGTTTTGGTAACTTGACATGACACTTCCATGTAAATACTCAACCACAGATAGTGAGACAGATATATATGGATTAGTGGATACTCTCACACTGTATATACATACAAGCATAAACATACAGCTATAGTAAGCTGATATATAGATGCATACATACATGTACATACATACATAGCTGATGAATAAATAGACAAATAAAGATATTGTTAAACATGCCCCTTGTTAAATGTTTTGGTAGTGAGTGTGGGCTTATTTTTATGATCAATTAAAGTTTTTTATTCATTGTTTTCTTCAATTATATAACTTAATGAAATAGGGTTACTTGAGGATGAATAACAAAAGTGAAAAAACTTCTACGTTACATTTTATTCAGTATAATATTTTTCACAGTATTTCCTCTTGTATTGCATCAGGAGTACAGTAGATCATAAATTACAATAGGTTTTCACTTTCTTTTTTCCTGCTCTGTGTAATGTGGGAACTTGTTTATGTCAGCAGAATAGACACTTGTAAATAAAAATGTTAATCCTTGATAATGACTAGTAATGTTATCCTTCATCACAATAAGAACAATATGTAAAATGTTCACGTTTCGACTACCACATTCCTTCCCAAGTACCTGATTGAGATTAAATATTAAAAAAAAAATGAAAATTGATATCTCAAAATTACACATATATTTTTAGAATTTATATATACACACATGTCAGTCCTGTATTCATGAAGAAATGTGGTTCGAAGCTATTGCACTATATCAACATCAGTTTCACATGCGAAGTATAACGGGGAAGTCCATACATACTATAAACTAGCGCAGCTCTGTATGCGTGAACTCAAAACACACATACGTTCGTGTAGCATCTGGAGTTAGCACGTAAAAAGCCCATGGTCTCTTGAGCAACATTGGAAGTAGAGAGTCGGGATGAACACATTAGTTAAGCGTGAGTTGTGAATGGCTATGTTAACAATCGTTCTAAAATCTACTACAAGGTGAACAGAGAATAACAGTACTCGAAGGACAGACAGAGAAACAAACTCCATGACACAAAAAAAGCAGGACTTGACAGACATCGATGATGTATCAATCTCATAATGTACATAATCACGTTCTTTGGACAAGGAGGCGGGGAAAACATTTTTGGTTTTTTATCTTTAATATCCCTCGTCAGTTCTGAAAAAATGGCCAAAATTCTCTCTTTGTTGCCTTCTCTTCTTTATCACACTGTTATTCGGAGAGGAAATGCAATTCTTTGATGTATAAATAAACGAGAAACGAGTTTATATGAATTCTCCCTCAATATATTTTCCTCGGGGCTGCGGCATGTCCTATCATGACGAAGGTAAGACATAATTATTATACAACTCGCAGTTAGAAATGTGCATATGTTTCACTCATTCACCCACATTCCTAACACAGAAATATTTATACATCCCTTTGAGAACGCGACCACGTGTTTGCATCATAAGCTCCGTTTTCTTTTTATCGAGGCGAAGCATGTGAAAAGTTGAATGATAATTGCCGGCAGGTTGATAGATTGGTCATGATAAACATTTGATAACTGACAGGTTGATGATGACAATCCTGTAATAAATGACAGGCTGGCAATGATAATCAAGTGGAATACAACGATATCCAGACGTCTATCCAATTATCACAAACCTCTCATGATCATCTTCACCCTGATAAAAAAGAAAAGAAAACGGCACATACCTCCCTTACCCAAACACCTCCCCTTCTTCAAAAACAGACGAAGAAAAGTTCCCTATCCCGGCTCCTGTAGTCAAAAGAAGAGAGACTTTACAATAGACTAGATAGATAATTGCCAGCAAAATCCATTTAGGCCTTTGCAACCGCGAAAACACCCGTCCTAGTATTCGCGGTAGTCCCTAGATGGCGTGCGGTGCCGGACCCCGCCGTTCTGGGCTACGGGGGTCGTGCCGCGAGAACGGGACCCAGAGCGAGGCATCCCGTGCACGCTGCGGAATCTGCGGGAGAGGTGCCGCCTGGTCTTCTTTCCGCGCTGGAAAAGATGAAATGGTGTTAAAAATCATATGGGAGAACTGAGTCTGAAGGAATATATACAGAGTATGATTGAGAGAGAGAGAGAGAGAGAGAGAGAGAGAGAGAGAGAGAGAGAGAGAGAGAGAGAGAGAGAGAGAGATGAAGAAACGAAAAAAACAGTTATCTCGTTTTCTTTCTATACTGAAAAGGTTAAAGATAAGTAGACAGAAATACTATTCAGGCTTGAAATAAAATGCGACATCCTTCCTTAACTGAAAATAGACCAAAGTACAGTAAGTACAGTTTGGGATCAGAAATATGATTAAAATGAAATACTAAGCTACATTACATTAGCATATCAACTCTGTTAAGCAGTGGAACTCATAGTTATTTACGAATATATTTCTCCCCATTCGCTTGAGTTTAAAAGATATACTATATATTTACTAAATTATTGGCCAATGAACATATTCGATTTTCAATGCACACAGCATTGCTGAATTTATGTGGTACTAAAATTAGCTCGTAGTTTCCTTGAAAACATTCTGCGGACCACAATTTAAGGACCACACTTATCAGTGCCTAAGGATTCTTTCCTTTTAACAACTTCCATTTAGTTCTTATAGGCCATTATCAATTTTCTTTGATATTAAGATTAGCTTGCGGGTGCTTTTGACCAGACAGTGCTGACACAGTTTCAGGGACCACTGTTCAAAAAATCTTTCTTACTACTACTCTAACAAACCTGTCAAGTCATGATCGATTTGAGGTGTAAGTTTGCAGGCAGAAAAGACGTAGAAAAGAGGGCTGGGTCGCAACAGCTATACATAAAACAGGGGAACTTTCGACGGCGAAGCACCTGCGCAGAGAACCCCATCTAACCTGGCTAAGTGCCTTGTAAATTACTCTACAAATAAATCTGAGTAACTTTTTAACATCAAGAAGAAAGGCACATTCATCTGCGCAGGAATTACATTAAAGGTTTTCATACTAATACGCTCAACCAAGGAGACCGCCAGAGAAGACAAAAGACAGTCAAAAGGCTCGTTATGACGTCACGCTGTAATCCTTTGTATTTTTTAAGCGAAAATATTGTAAATGCATTTTATATTCAATCCCTAATTGTTTCTTTATACAAAATAACTAGGAAACGGTAGAAAATCAAACGTCACAATCTTATGCGAATAGGTCTTTTCGAATCCTCCTCACAACACTGGTTCGAATCCCTAGAGACGAAAATTTGGCTCGTCTATTTTATGTCTTTACAATCTATAGATTTAAAGATAAAGTTGGATATTTTTTATTTACTATTCTACTTTCTCTATATTCAAAGATTCAGATGTAGGTTCAGATTTCTTATTTTCCACTTCTCTTATAACTGAAACTACGAAAATGGAAAAGATTCACTGACCTAGACAAGTATCCCCTAAGCATTCATATAAGGAAAATGATAATTAAAGCTATGTAAATCTGATATCCCTTCAGCGGATACCAATAGTAACCTGTGAGCTGATATTAAAACGTAAAGTGAATTACATTAGTTTGTGTATATGTACGCTGCCACTCTCCCAATAAAACACCAGAATTCGATACTATATTCCCTTTACCCGACTACTTTTTCCTTTTTTAAACTGATTTCCAAGACCTGCATAAATTTCATGAAAAAGTGAAAACGTCAAGCATGTAGATTAAATATGCCACAAACGATTTTGCATTGTAAATATCAAGAGACAACATATTTTACATTATATTACTCTCAAATAATCAAGAGAAACATAGTAGAGTCCCCCGTAGAATATACGGCATGTCCAGTAATGGTCTCTGCAACTGAACCAACCGTGACAATTCGAGCTTATGCTTAAGTATTCTATTGCCTCACTTAATTAGAGTATACTGTTGACGTTTCACCTAATTCACTTGGATGATTCAAATCGGTTCACTCCTTTACATCCTTACTTGCAATATAATATATTAGTTGTATTATTATCAGAAAATAATTATTTATTCTTTGCCCTATTTGATAACAATGTTAGGATGCTTTATTGTGAATAAAATATTTCAAGTGAATAAAGTCTAGTTCCTAAAGGATGAGGGAATTGTGCTTTTAATACTATGGGAGGAGAACCCATTCGCAAATGATGTTTTCTCCCTGAGCCACCAACGCCCTCAAACCGCTGCTCCGGCTCAAAGCGGGAAGTCGTGTTGGTCCGACCTAGTGTCGAAGCGCGGTGTCTTGGAAGGACAGCGGGAAAAAACTGGCTTACAGCAATGACGATGTACGATCGTAATCGTGCGCATAGGACAATCACTCGATCTTTTGTATTCTCTATTCTATCACAAGCCATGACCCGACAAAGTAGCGCATCATATCGCTGAATTCCTACAGGATATGTGTGGGTTTATCCCAAAGTCAGGAAAGTAACATCATATTTGCAAATATAAATCCTGAATTGGAATCATTACTACCTGACAGTATGCCGTGCTGAGAAAGGTCAACACTGAATCTGAAACCATTATTCCAAAACCCAAATATACATTCAAAACAAAAACTACTCCACTCCTTAAAATACGAAAAAATACCGCATAAAAAATACTCCACTCCGCATGAAATCATATTCCTTACCTCATTTCGGAGTGCGAGCTTGGACTGATAATTGATCTTTTCAAGGGCCTCGCGTACCCAAAGAGGCTCATCCGGCACCAGCCACATCAGCGCCATCTTAACGCACAAGATGATGTGTTCCAGCAGGACGAAGATCAGAACCCACTCGACAGGAGATGCGGACGGTGCCAAGGGACGGACTCGGGGAGAGAGGCACAGGAGGGCACAGTTCGTGATCACAGCCACGGCACCAAGCATCTCGAAGGCACCCTGGAACAGATAAGGAACCTTAGGG